CTATGTTGAATAGCAGTGGTGATAGTGGGCACCCTTGTCTTGTTCCAGATCTCAGTGGGAAGGGTTCTAGCTTTTCTCCATTCAGTATGATACTGGCGTTGGGTTTTTCATAAATTGCTTTAATTATGTTGTGGATTTTCCCATCTATGCCTACTTTGGCTAGAGTTTTTAGCATGAAGAGGTGTTGGATTTTGTCGAAAGCTTTTTCTGCATCTATTGAAACTATTATGTGGTTCTTGTTTTGCAGTTTTTGGATATGGTTTATAACATTTATGGATTTCCGAATGTTGAACCATCCCTGCATTCCAGGGATGAATCCTACTTGATCCGGATGAATGATCTGTCTGATGATTTTTTGAATTCTATTGGCTAGGATTTTGTTGAGAATTTTAGCATCAATGTTCATCAGAGAAATAGGTCTGTAGTTTTCCTTCTCTGATGGTTCTCTATCCGGTTTTGGGATTAAGGTGATGTTGGCTTCATAGAATGAGTTTGGGAGGGTTGCTTCCTCCTCTATTGTTTTGAAGAGCTTGTAGAGGATTGGGGTTAGTTCTGTTCGGAATGTTTTGTAGAATTCTGTAGTGAAGCCGTCTGGGCCTGGGCTTTTTTTCGTTGGGAGATCCTTGATGACTGTTTCAATCTCTACCTCGGTTATGGGTTTATTTAATTCTGCAGTTGCCTCCGGACTGAGTTTTGGTAAATGGTGGGAGTCCAAGAACTTTTCTATTTCTTGGTGGTCCTCAAATTTGTGGGAGTACAGTTCTTTGTAGTAATTTCTAATTATTTTCTTAATGATTGCAGTGTCTGTTGTTATGTTGCCTTTTTCATCTTTAATGCTGTTGATTCTCACTTTCTCTTGTTTTTTTTTGGTCAATCGGGCCAGTGGAGTGTCTATTTTGTTTATTTTCTCAAAAAACCAACTTTTTGATTTGTTGATTTTATGTATAGTTTTTTTGATTTCTATTTGGTTTATCTCCTCCCTTGTTTTGATGATTTCTTGTTTCCTATTGTGCGTGGGACTCTTCTGCTGCTGTTTTTCCAGATCCTGGAGGTGTGAGGTTAGTTCCTGTATTTGGCGTCTTTCTTGGGCCTTGACATGCGCTCCGATTGCGATGAATCTACCTCGTAGCACTGCTTTGGCGGTGTCCCACAAGTTTTGGAATGTTGTATCAGAGTTTTCATTGGTTTCCATGAATTTTTTGATCTCATCTTTAATTTCTTCTCTGACCCATTGTTCGTTTAATAGCATATTGTTCAATTTCCAAGAGTGCCTATACTTCCTGGGGAGTTTTGAGTTGTTGATTACCAGTTTCATCCCATGGTGGTCTGAGAGGGTACATGGTATGATACTAATGTTTTGGAAGTTGTTTAGATTCGCTTTATGTCCTATCATGTGGTCGATTCTGGAGAAGGTGCCATGCACCGCTGAGAAGAATGTATAGTCTGTGGCCTTAGGATAAAAAGTTCTATATATGTCTACTAAGTCCAGTTGTTCTATTGTTTGTGTGAGCTCTGTTGTTTCTTTGTTGAGTTTTTGTTTCGTAGACCGGTCCATTGTTGTTAGAGGTGTGTTGAGATCGCCTACAAGAATTGTGCGGGTGTCTATGTCTTCCCTTAAGTCTGTAAGTAATTGCTTTACGTAAGTAGGTGCATTAAGATTCGGTGCATAAACATTAATGATGGTGATTGCTTCTTGATGGATCATTCCTTTCACCAGTATAAAATGGCCTTCCCTGTCTCTTTTGATGTTAGTTAGAATGAAATCTATCTCGTCTGAAATTAGGATAGCTACCCCAGCTTTTTTTTCTCGTCTATTGGCGTGGAATATCTTTTTCCATCCCTTCACTTTCAGTTTCTTTGCATCCTTTCTGGTTAGATGCGTTTCTTGTAGGCAACAGATGGTTGGGTCTTGTTTGATGATCCATTCTATTAATCTCTGTCGTTTGATTGGTGAATTTAGACCATTTGTGTTGAGAGTTAAAATTGAGAGGTTGCAATTTTGCCCTGCCATGTGATTGTGTTGTGTGTGTGTTGTTGCCTATGTAATTGTCTTGTTTGTGCGGCCTTTAGTTTGGAGACCTTCTTATTTGCCAACTTTGTTTGTGATTTGCCTCCTTTTTGTCCGGGACTAGCGCATTTCTAAGGAGACTTTGCAGAGCTGGTTTTGTGTAGACATATTCTTCTAGTTTTTCTTTGCTATTGAAGTATCTGATTTCATTCTCATATACAAATGAGATCTTTGCTGGGTAGATTATTTTTGGTTGACAGTTGTTTTGTTTCAGGACTTGGAAGATCTTTGTCCATTCTCTCCTTGCTTGTAGGGTCTCTTCGGAGAAGTCAGCAGTGATTCTGATGGGTTTTCCCCTGTATGTGATCTTTTCTCTACTTCGTACTTGTCTCAGGATTCCTTCTTTGTCTTCATTGGAGTAGAACTTGAGCACCGTGTGTCTGGGTGAAGATCTCTTTGGATCATGTCTGTTGGGAGTTCTCTGTCCATCCTGTATGCGGGGTGGATTCGTGTTCCAAGTGTTTTGGAAGTTTTCCTGTATAATTTCATCGAGCACTGCTTGCATCCCAGATTCTCTTTCTACTCCCTCGGGGAGGCCGATGATCCGAATATTCAATTTTCTAAGGTAATCCTTCATCTCTTGCATCATTTTATTAGTTTTGCTGAGGTTTGTCTCCAGCTGTTTGATTCGCTGGGCACTTTCATTTTGTGTGTCTTCTGTTTCAGAGATCCTTTCCTCTGCCGCATTTATTCTGTTGATGAGGCTTTCAATCTTATTATCTTGGGCGTCCAGTTTGGTTTTGATTTGTTGTATTTCGGTGATTATGCGGTTCTGGTAGTCTTCCAGCTTTGTGTCCACGTCTCTGAGAAATTTTAGCATTATTTTCATCAATTCCTTTGCTGGTAACACTTCCATGTCTTCATCTCGTATCGTCGATATTGATAATGGCTTTTGGCCCTTGTTTGGTGGGGTGCTGGCTCTTTCATCTGGAGCACAACTCTTTCTGGTGGTTTTTCCCATTGCGTTGGTGTGTTCTGGTGAGGCAAATGGACCCGTGTGTTGAGGGGCTGTCAGGTGCTTTCCTGTAGAGATTGGAGCCTGCAGGCGTGGTGTTGCCGGGCGTGGTTATTTTCAAGGCACCGTTGGTGCGTTCTCAGGGCCCGGGGCTGTAGAGCACCACCTTGGGGGCCCAGTGGATTCCAGGCACACTCTGGGCACCTCTTCTACAGGTGTGACACCCCAGGGCGTGGAGGGATGGAGGCGCTCTCTGGGTGTGCCCCCTTCACGGGAATCCGCAGGGCGTAGAAGGTTTTATGTGCTTTCTCCCTGCGTTCTCCGTGTCAGGGACTGCAGGGTTTTTCAGAGCCCACCTGGTGCGTCTCCCACACACGGGACTGTGGGTGAGGCACTTTCCAGGCGTGGCTCTTGTGCAGTGAATCCACCACTCGTGGTGTGTGGGTGTTCAGAGCCCCTGCTCCCGTGTGGCTCCCCCACACAGGCCCTTAGCGGAGGAGTGACCCAGGCGCCCTGTTATAATGACTTCACGGCAGGTTCTCACCGTGTCAGTGTGATGCAGGAGTTTTCAGGGCTCTCCTGGTGGGTCGCCCACGCTCAGAACTGCAGGGTGGGAGGCGAGAAGTGAGCAGTTCACTCTATGGGAGTGGTACCTGCGTGTCAGGGACACACAGCGCTACACTTCCCAAATCTGAGCTCTCGTGACACCTGACACCTGCGCTGCGGAGGTGCTGCTGCTGCAGGCGGGGCGCCCAGCCCGCTCGGTGCGGCGCGCACTCACCAGTGCGCTCGGTGGTTTCGTGCACTCACCAGGCAGGATGTGGGGGACTCCAGACCCTCGCCAGCTGCCTCTGCGCACCGAGCCGCACTGGTCCCCTCAGCGCAGGAACTTCCGAGGCGCCTTCCCGCGGCCCCCCTCAGCCACCAACACAACACCACTGTGCGTAGTTCCACACAGACCCAACAGTTTCGGCCGCCTGCTCCGCCTTCTCAGAGGCTGGAATCTCAGCAGGGGGCGAGAAATGCGGAGGCTGCCACGTCAACCCCGAGCTCACCAAACGTCCGGCTGCTGCAGTCTGCCTCCACCGCTGCCGAAGGCCTCCCGCCAGCGACGATCCCCCTGATCTCCCTGCCTCCGAGCTGGCCGCGTCTCCCGTCAGGCCGTTTTCAAAAGTGACTCAGCAGGTCTAGAGTGGGATGTCGGTTTCTCTGACTTTGCCCTGCTCCGTTCTCGTTGTTCTTCCGAGTTGTGTGGATCTTTTTGGCTCCACACTGTCCCAGGGAGCTTCACGGACCTCTCCCTGCGGTTCCCTGCTGTTCCTCTTTGCTGCTTCTGTAGCGTTCTATCCCTCTCTCACTAGACGCTCCCTCACAGCCTTCCTCCTACGTCGGCCATCTTCGCTCTCCCCTAAAAAATTGTTTTAACGTATGGATTACTCAATACTATATCCACTAATCCCATAATGTTGTGGATTGTTGCTGATGTTATGTTGGGGCTTTTGATTGGTCGGGATGACACTCTGCCAGCTCTGCCTTCGAACCAGAGATGGTCTCCACAAGAAGCCATTGAACTTATCTGGACAATAAGATGCTAGATTCAATGCTTGGTATATGCTTGCAGTGAATGAACCCCAACTGAACTTGAACTGTGGTAATGCAACAAGGTGGAGGAATGCACCATGGGGGGAGGGTTTAGGGAGGGTTGGGAGGAATACCAGTACCTACAACTGTGTCACATAATGCAATATAATAGTAATAAAAAAAATCTTAAAAAAAGAAAGTAAAAAAAAAAACTTGTGAAAACTACACATCCCTAAATATCATCATTTTCAAAATATTGTTGCAGCAATGAACTTTTAATTCTATTGATTCTACCAACCTAAGAACTACTCCTGTGTTATATCCTTGATACTGAAGTGATAATATGTACAATTCCCATTTAACTGCTTTTCCTGTTACTAACACTATTTTTTTTTTTACACAAGGATCCCAGGTGATATGGAAACCAGAAATCTCACACATGTCTCAGAATTCCATCTCATTGGCTTCTCAGAGGATCCAGAGATGCAGCCCCTCCTCATGGGACTGTTCCTCTCCATGTACCTGGTCACAGTGCTCGGGAACCTGTTCATTATCCTGGCTGTCTCCTCAGACTCCCACCTGCACACTCCCATGTACTTCTTCCTCTGCAGCCTGTCCTTGGCTGACGTGGGGTTCATCTCCACCACGGTTCCCAAGATGATTGTGGACATCCTCACCAACAACATGGTCATCTCCTATGATGGCTGCCTCACACAGATGTCTGTGTTTCTCCTCTTTGTATGCATGGATGATTTCCTTCTGACAGTGATGGCCTATGACCGGTTTGTTGCCATTTGTCACCCCCTGCATTACCAGGTCATCATGAACCCTCGCTGCTGTGGCTTCCTACTTTTGCTTTCCTTTATGGCCAGCCTTTCTAATTCCCTGATGCACAGTTTGGTGGTCTTACAAATTATGTGCTTCAAGGATTTGGAGATTGCTAATTTCTTCTGTGATCCTTCTCAGCTTATCAACCTTACTTGCTCTGACACCCTCAGCAGTGGCATAGTCATATATCTTGCTCCCATCATATATGGCTTCCTCCCTTTGTCAGGGATCCTCTTCTCCTACTATAAAATTGCCTCTTCCATTCTGAGGGTCCCATCTCCAGGTGGCAGGTACAAAGCCTTCTCCACCTGTGGCTCTCACCTGACAGTGGTTTGCTTATTTTATGGAACAGGCATTGGGGTGTATTTCAGTTCAGCTTTCTCTGGTTCTGCGGAGGAAAATGCTTTGGCCTCAGTGGTGTACACTGTGGTCACCCCCATGCTCAACCCCTTTATCTACAGCTTGAGGAACAGGGACATCAGGAAGGCCATGAGGAGGCTTCTTAGGAATGCATTTTTGCATTCCTGCATACCTGTGTCATGCATTTGTACTGCATTTAGAGAAAGACAACAAACCTAAACATTAGACCTGCCAATCTCATACTTCTCTAAATACTTGACATATCAGAGTGTTGTGCTTTCCAATTATGCCTGAATATTGCATGTTGGGTCTTTTTTTAATGTGGAGTATTCTGAGTTTTTAAAAGGTATTTCTATCCCTGCTCTCCTGAATCTTATTTCCCTATAGACTCCTCCGTAGTTTATTATTTCTGATCCAGGCATCCTGTTCAGGTGACCCACTTCTTATCGAGCTCCCTGTTTGTAGCCTGCAGAAGCACTGGAGCATAGCCCAAGGCTTTGAGGCCCTGTACACATGTGGAAGCCCTGGGAGAAGCTCTTAGCTCCTCATCATCTCCAGCAGCTGTGGAAATTTGGAAAATGAGCCAGTGGATGGAAAATCTTTAACTGTGTAATTTTGCATTTCACATAAAATGTAATAAATATTTTAGAAGCTAGTTATTGTTTAATGATTCACCATACATCATGCAATAATGACATTTACATTAAACATGTGTTAAAGGATTCAGTGTTAAGATATAATTTTATGCATTTCGTTGGAGTAAAATGATCAAAATCTAAATCCTGCCAGGCCATGAGTAGGATCTACTTTGGAAAGTAATTTAGGCAGTCCACATTTACTGTGACACTATAACTCAGGAAAGCCATAGATCAATTCCACTGGCAACTCTTGAGAAGACAGAATTTTGCATGAAGGTTAGAGCTTCTCTTACTCTTTCAAGAGAGAACTCAAGATTTGGGAATTGAACTATTATTTGGCTCCTTGGCTTCTGGTATTGAAAGATTGTTGGTGGATTACTATGATATTTGTCATTTGGGACTGACTTATTTCACCGAACATAATGGTCTGTAGTTGGAAATAGCAGGTAGGATTTCATTCTTTTTTAAAAATTTTACTTCTTTTTATTATTAGCATTTTATGATAAAGTTCCATTGGTTCCAAGATTCCCCATATGCCCCTCCCAATCCCTTCCCTCCTCACTGAGTTCCCTTATATCATTACAGTTGTATGGTTTCATACACAGTCATATGTCCATTATTGCAGGCATGGACATTGGCAAAGTCCAGCATCCTCTTGTCAAGATTTAGTAAACAGTTTCATTGGGAGTCCATATTTGTCTGGAAGTAGAGATGCATACTGCATTGTATCCCCACCTTTGGATATAATAATCTACACTACACAGTTACTGTACATCCCCTTAAATAAAAGCCACAACACAAAATCAACAACGGGATGAAAAATAGAAATTTACAGTGGCATGGAGTTAAATAACATGCTGCTAGCTATAATGATCTCCATTACACAGTTACTGTACATCCCCTTAAATGAAAAGCCATAAAACAAAATCAACACCATGAAGAAAAAAAGAAATTAACAACACCATGAAGTTAAATAACATGCCACTGAATCACTAATGGGTCGCAGAAGAAATGAAAAAGAAAATCAAGAACCTTCTTGAAGAAAATGATGCTACTGTATGATCTGTGAGTCATTGAAGAATTTGACCAGAAGAATGTCTTTTGAAGAGATGAAACTAACAAAAAATTTTAAATGCATGAGATATAAATTCCACTGATCGTTGTTGGTGAAATGTGTCTCCTGTAGGCAACAAATAGATGGGTTTTGTTGTTTAATCCAGTCTACTAAGCTATGATGCTTGATTGATGAATTTAATCCATTTATATTCAGGGTTAATATGAGTGGATAGTGATTTGGTCCTTTCATATTAGCAACAGATTGTTTGCTGATTTATTCTTCTGTTGTCATTTTACTGGGATGTTCTTCATATTTGCCTTTGGTTTTGGTGGGTGCTATTCCTCTTCTCTGTCAAGAGAACATCTTAAAGTATCCTTTGTAGGGCAGGTTTGGAAGAGGTATATTCTTTTGATTTTTTACTACAGAATAATTTTATGAAAGACAAAGGAAAGTTTTGCCAGGTACTTTATCCTGAGCCAACATATTTTTTTGCTTTTAGAATCTGGAATATGTTTGTCCATTCTCTTCTGGCCTGAACAGTTTCCTGTGAGAGGTCTCCTGTGAGTTTAATTGACATTCTTTTATATGTTAGTTGATTTTTTTTCCACATGCACATTTAAGGGTCGCTTCCTATGTTCGATTGAAGAGAGATTGATTATCATGTGTCCTGGTGAAGATTGCTTTTGGTCAACTGTTTGGAGTTTTGTGCCCCTCCTGGATCTTGTTTCCCAATTCTTCCTCTAGATTAGGGAAATTTCCCCTTATTATTGCATTAATTACATTTTTAAAAACCAGCTTCTCTTTCTGCACCTTCTGCAACTCCCATAACTCCTATATTTGATCTTTTAGTAGTGTCTTTCAATTCTTGAATTTTTTTTCATCTAATCTAGCTCTTCTTCCAGCTGCTTGTTTGTTTCCCCCTGGTGACAGGAAATATCTTCTAATTTTGATATTCTTTTTTTTTTTTGCATCCTTGATTCTATTTTGGAGACTCTCCGTTGTACTTACAGTTTGCTCCACTGTATTCTTCATTTCTGATATATGAGCTTTCATTTGATTCATTTCCTGTATGACATATTCCTTGAATTCCTTGAATGCCTGCTTCTTGTTGATAAGAAGTTTTGAATTCTGTATCCCCCATTTTCTTGATGTCTTCTTCAATTAACTCTGAGATTGACAAAGGCTTTTGCTTCTTTGCAGGGGAGTTTTCAGTAATATTCATTGCTCCTCTGTCTCTTCTTTTGTTCTTGGTCATTGTACTTCTGGTTAACAGATTCTTCTCCTTGGGGCAGGTTTCTAAGCTGTGTCACCCACAGGTCAACAGTTCTATTTTACTTATTGCGGTTGGTACATGGCTCTTTGTTTGCAGTCACTTTGCAGTCACATTGGATTCTTGGCATAGAAATTCTGAATCCACACACTGAGTTCAAACTGAAAACCAAAGTCTGAGTTTTAAGCCAAGATCCTGCACTTTACGATCGAGCAGAGGTGAACTGCCTTGTGCCTTGGTTCCTCTTACTTTGTGCAAGAGGAGGGGAGCTCAGCGCTTTTGTGTAGCTTTTCTTGCAATAGGTTATCAGGTAAACGAAAATGAAGCCAATTCTGAATCAGGAGTTGGGTTCCCAACTCTGCCGGAGCCTGGCTAATGCACACCTCTGCAGTCCAGAGAAATCATTTCATGTTTCTTTCCTCTGAAAAGAGACCTCCTGCTCCTTGCTGCCTACTGTGGTTTCCCTGCATCCACAGTAGGCCACAGCCAATGAAGAATGACACATATATTCAAAGGGATGGGCAGGCACATGGTTACATAAGGCTGATCTCCTTCTAGATCTTTCTCTGAGATTTCATTTCAGTGTTCAAGGTCTTACACACGTCATGGGATCGCTCTACTTCACATGAAGTAGCAACATGAACTGAGTCATTAGATTCCAATTTTACTATAGAAAAAGCAGAGTGATGGACAAGCGACCTCAGAGGTAGGTACCTGATACCATGACATGTGGATTTCTGCTGAAACTTTCTGATGACTGGGGGAACGGGGAGGTCTCAATGCAGCAGATCCAGAGACCATGCTTTTTGTAATCATGTCCACTTCACCGAGCACTTCACTTCTGTGTGGTGGGTTCTCAGGATCTCCGACACTGGGCACTGTCAGCTATCAGACTGGATGCCTCAATGGCACAACTGCTTAGGGAAATCAATGACCCTACTATAGAAAATAGCTATTTGGAACAATACATCAAAGATGGACAAAATAAAGTTAGAAACCGGCCTAATATTGTGCTTTTCTATTGCTGTATTGCAATTGTTGCTCCTGCCAGTCTAAGAAAGGAGTAAGATTTCCAAGGAAAACAGAATGAGCATTTTGAGCTAATTCTGATACAAACTTGTTAAAACAGCCACATGCAAGTTTAATACATATATATTTCCAATTGTGAAAATTTTATCCCCAAACTACTTTTGTATTAAGTGAAATTACTTCTTCACTCTACAAAACTGTTTTTAGAGCCCAAGTATGCCCTCACAAGCATACTTTCGGTGTGTTTGGGGAAGAATGACTGTCTCTCTCCCCTGAGCTCCTGAACTGCAAGTGTTGCTTAAACAGGGGACATCACAGACTCTGCGTTACACATTGAACAGAGTCATTCTTGGTTCACAGTAACAGGCCCTAGTTGCTGTGGCTTCCACACATTGGCTGCCATTGTGATCCCTTTTAGGAACTTCCCATGGAAGCAGAAATGCATTGGAGTATGAGAATAGTGTAGGCTTGTGTCTCTGAGAAGGACAGAGTGTCCTGTAAGTTCCCTGAATGAGGTCTACTGCATAAGTATTTTGTGCATGAGTAGTGATGACTTATGGCAGAGATCTTCAGATGTACAATAAAAGAAATGGAAGTGAAAAGACAGATGGTATACCTGACTGAGACATTGCCACCTCCATTTCCTTTGACAATGCTATTCATAAGAACCATGGCATTTCTGTGACAAAAATCTGTCTTAAAAATGAGAACAAGATGATTCATTTTAACTTCCCCTGCTTGCTTGACCTGTCATAGATAGGAGTTGTGCTATGTGCAGAAGACAATGAAATTACAGCGGGGTGAAGACATGTTTGTATGTGTGTATCCTGGGTGAACGATCCAGGAGCAGAATCATGACTTACTTATATCTTTCTCATCACTGTGGTTCCTCCACTCAAGCAAAGTGAAATCAACATACCCCTCATGAGATTAGCTTTCCTCGTGTGTTCTCATGAAAGGAATGCTATCAGATGTCACACTGTGTGATAACCATCATTTCTCTCTCTCTCTCTTTTTTTTAAAGATTTATTTATTTATTTTTATTACAAAGTCAGATATACAGAGAGGAGGAGAGACAGAGAGGAAGATCTTCCGTCTGGTGATTCACTCCCCAAGTGACCGCAACGGCTGATGCTGTGCCCATCCGAAGCCGAGAACCAGGAACCTCTTCCAGGTCTCCCAAGCGGGTGCAGGATCCCAAAGCTCTGGGCCATCCTCGACTGCC